TAATTTTATTTAAATACTTTTTATATCTATAATAACTATTTTACTTATAATTATACCTATAAAAAAGCCAGTTTTATTAAAGTTATAAATATTATTTAATTAAATACTATACTTAAATTATATTTACTATAAGTTAAAATTAATTATAAATAATAATTAGATTTTATATTTAACTTTCTAATAATTATATTTATAAAAAAAATATATCTTAAGATCTAGATACTACTTAATAAAATTTAAAGCTTAGTATATACTAATTAATAGTATATTACAGTTAGTAAGTAATTAATTAGCTATATCTTTTATATTATATAGTTAGGGGGAAATCCTTGCAAATCTAGATTAAGAATAAAGTAAATAAGAATCTCTTCCTCTAGGTTGGAGAGCTTGTATAATTTAGAAATCCAATTAAGTTGGGATTGAATATCTTGTTGCTGGTGCTATAGCTTTATATAACTAATATTATATATCTTTATAGTATATTGAAGCTTTAATTTTAGGTTATTTTGAAGGGCCTAAAGAGTAAGAGGGATTCTAGTTTTATTATTAGATTGTAATATGCTGGGTGGTTGAGAATTATTTAATTAAATAGAGATAATGTAGATTAAGGGATTTTTGTTATGTATGCTTATTTGTTATATAAGTTATATATATATATTATTTGTTTTTTTATATTAATTATTCTAAATATATTCTTAAGAGTTATTTTAAAGTTTTTTTAATTTATAAATAAGTTAATTATATCTTAATTTTAATTAACTTTATTATTATTAAAAAATTTTTAAGAATAAATTTAAATTAATTCTTAATATTTTTAGATATTAAATTACTTATAAATAGCAGTTATAATTTTATAGATACTAATTATTATAGATATTATTAAAAGTATTCTTTTATTCTAGTAATAAAGAGTATAATATTACTAGATATTTTATTAAACCTCTTAAATAGTAAAGATTTCTTTTTTTTTTTAAGTTATATTTAGTATTTCTAGTAACTACTACTAATATATTTTATACTTATTACTATAAAGTATAGATTAGGTTATATAGCTATTTTACTTTAGTAGCTATATTAATATTGTCTACTAGAGTTATATAGATTAGTAGTATAGATATATTACTTAGAATAATAGAAATTTAATTAATTTTAGATATCTTAATAGTAAGAGATATTACTTAATAGTTAACATAAGTAACTATTTTAAATAAAAGCTATTAATATATAATAATTATCTTTCTAGCTATTATAAATATAGTTTAGAGTAGATAAAAAGTAGGTTGCTAATAGATAAATTATAAATTTATATTAATAAAGCAGTTAGGGTATTACTTATAGAGTAAATATTATATCTAGTAATAATTAAGTATAGTAATATATAGTAAGTTAAGGTAATTAAGATAACTAAGTTATATTAATAGCTAAGAAGCTGCCTATACTAGATATATACTTCTTAGATAGCTATATATTAATATAATTAGATATAATTACCTATAAGATAATTATAATTACTAGTAATTAAAGGTAATTATAAAGTAATTACTATAATTGTAATTACTAGTAATTAGAGGTAATTATAAATAGCTAAATTATATTTTGTTTTAGGAGGCTGAGAAAAGTGGGGCTGTGTCTAGAGCTTGATATAAGTTGCAGCTAGACTGTAATAAGATTCTTATTAAGTATATTCTTAATTTAAATTTATAAGAATTTTCTCTGTAACTTTATAATAGAGAAGAAATAACTAACTAATTACTTATTAATTATAATATATTACCTATTAAAAAGAATTAAACTTTTAATTTTATGAGATAATAATTAAAGCTTATAATATATTTTAATTATAAATATAATTACTAAAAAGCTAAATATAAAAATCCAATTCTTATTTATAAGTAATTCTTACTTATAGTAAATATAATTATAAAATATAATATTATTCTAGTTAATATTTATAACTTTAATAAAACTAGCTTTATAATAGGTATAATTATAAGTAGAATAATTATTATAGGTATAAAATAGTATAAAAAGCTAAAATCAGTTTAGCCTAGAAATTAAAAATAGATTATAGTTATTCAGGCTATAAATATAAAAGGTTAGGTAATTTAGCTATTTATTATAATTATAAGCTAATATTACCTTACTAGCTAATATTAAAAAAGTAACCTTCTAGATAATTAGGCTATTACTATAACTAAAAATAGCTAGATTAATAATAAAATAAATCTTAAGTAAATTAAATATTTTAATTAATATATAAAAACCCAATTAAATAATTATTATTATCTTTTAATTCTTAATAAATATAAAAGCTACTACTTAATTAACTTTAAGTTATATTATAAGAAAAATAATATTATTATACTTTATATACTATCTTATTTCTCTTACCTACTTTAACCTCTTAATATTAGATACTTTAAGCTACTTAAAAAGGCTTATAATTAGAAAATAAAATATTTAATTAGATACTCTATAATTTATATTTTAAAGATTAAATTCTTTCTAGTTTTTTATATTATTTTTAAGCTATAATAATAGAAAGTAATATTTAAGGGGGTTTTAAAAAGCAGGATTTATTTCTCTAGACTTAGAAAGTATACTATCTAAGCTTAATATCCAGCTATAAACTCTAATATCTATTAAGAAGAAAGCTAGTTTTTCTAACTTTTAAATTTTAAAAACTCTAAAAATTATTCTTAAAGCTAACTTTTAATTAAAATTTCTTAAAAATAAATTAAAAGATTCTAAAGTAGCTCTTTAATATATATTTTTTATTAAAGTTTAATAAATATATAAATCTATAATTATATAACTTCTAATAGTTAAAATTCAAGCTTAAATATAAGCTTAAATATTCTAGAAAAATCTTATAATATAGCATTAAAATACAGTACTAATAACACTATTTATACTATATGACTAATTCATTCAAATTAGCTTATTAATCTATTAAGCTTAGAAATTAAGTATTTTGATTTATAAGTAAGGCTTTTAATTCCTCCGTGATTTGAAATAAGATTGCTCGGCATTAGAGAACCTAGGAAGACATATCCATACCATCTTAAAGCCGATTTCTGGGCTTTCTAATGGTATTACTTTTATCTTTATACCTATATATTTGCCGGCTAATTTGTCTATAAAAGAAGAGCTTCCTCTAGGATTATTTTCTCTTTCTTTTATTATATATACTATTAATATATACTATATTATACTATCTTATACACTATTACTTTATCTTTATCTTATCTCTTATCTCTATATCCTTTATAAGAATATCCTTTATCTAGAATTTATTCTATTCTTCTACTATCTTATAACCTCTAATACTTTATAAATAGTCTTATTTTATAAATATTATATAAATAGCTTAAATTAGAGTTTTTTTTTAAAAATCTCTTTTTTCTTTTATAAATAATTATTTTATCTAAATTATATTTAATCTTATTTATATTCTTATTTTATTATACTTACTTTTTATAATAATTAGATTATTTAAAAAATAATTTAATTATAATAAATTTATATTAATAAATAATTTAAAATATTATTAAATAATAAATAAAATTATATCTAATAATAATTAATTAAGATAATTATCTATTATTAAATAATTAAAATAATTAAATAATATTAAAAACTAAAAAGTATAATTTTATTTAAAGAAAGTTTAGAGAATATTATATATTTAGAGATAATTACTCTATTTAAAGTAATTATATTATAATACTTACTAAATATATAGCAGACTAGATAAGTATCTTTTATATTTAGTTATACTAGTATAAATAAGCCTATTTACTCTTATTATTCTACCAGGCTAAACTACCTGATCTTACTTAGATTATAATATAAATTAAGATAGTAATAGTAAATATATTAAATAGTAAGAATTATATTATAGTAAGTATTAAAAGATAGATATATATATTACTATAGCTAATTTACTAAGAAATAAAATATTATATAAAACTGGTTTTCTTTTTATAAATATCCAGCTAGCTCTAAATATAGCCCTAACCTTAACTTAAACACTAATAAGATAATAATATAACTAGTAGATTTATTATGTCTGGGAAAACAAATCTCATAAAGCCATAGAATACACTATACTATTTACATTTCTACCACCTTCAATTCTAACTACAAAGTAAAGCCCTACTTTCTCTCCCTATATCGCTTTCTTTTAGCCTTACTTAACTCTTTCTAATAGGCCTACTTAAAGGCTATTTTCTCTAAGTATTCAGCATCCTATCCTTAGCAGCTAAAGCATAGTCTATCAAAATAAGACTGTATTATATTAGTATTTTCTAATTCTAATTGTTAGTATATTCAATTTTCCTCCCTTGGCTCTAGTCTTCCTATCTTTATTGCAAATTTGATTATTGCTCGCACTGCCTGTAGGTTAGGTGACCATCTCAGTCCGTCCAACGCCGACTTTCCTCCCAGAAAGAATGAGAGGTTTCCCATCTCACTTTGTCCGATTCGCCGCATGCCTTCGCGTTGTGCATCCCACTTGCTGCAGCGAAAGAGAAAATGTTCCATCGTCTCGGTTGCCCGTCCGCAATCACACAAGTCTGATTCCACCGCGCCGATCCTCGACAGGTAGCTGTTGATCCTCGCCATTCCCGTGCGTAACTGTGAAAGCGTGTCTGCTTCGCGCCTCTTCAGAAAGAGTGTAAAGAGTGTAAAGAGTGTCACCGCGTTCTTAAACTAAGTGTTGGAATGTGACCTGTATTACGAAACCTCTGATAGATCGATATCCTGACCTTAGTCAGGGGCGGCCCCCTCTCGAGAAAAGAGGGGGCCGGAGGCATCCTAGATTAATACATTCATCAGATTCAGGATCCACACCCGATTGAGCAGTCATCCCTTGGATTGAATGTGCCGTACGCTATCTAATACTAAGACATAAATAGGAATAACTCGGTCTTTACATCGAGTTAAGATCCACTAATATACATTCTTGGGTAGGTTGTTGCTGCAATTCCAACTGAGTGCCGACGCTCCTCCTCGTACCAAGTACTTAGGGCCTTGCCGTCGAACATTACTTCGTTGTCTTCGATGGCGGTGGGTTGGACCCAGGTGTAGGCGTCGAGGTCGACTTCTGGGGCGGAGGAGTCGAGGGCTTGGAGACCCGGGAGGAGGTAGCAGGTTGCTTCTGGTTCTGGAGGTGGAGGAGACATGGCGAAGGCAGTTATGTGGCGTCGATTCAGGATGATGTTCGAAGTGCTGAAGATGTTGACTGAAGGAAGATCAGGCTGTTTAGGAAATGTGCTTCGGGGTTGGCGTTTTGCTTCTTTTAATCCTAGGTCCGACCTGCGCGAGATATAGAGTTGGTCGTCAAGTATGCAGCCTTTGTTTGGGGTGAGCAACAAAGGAGAAGGGCGGATTACCTGATAGTTGCGTCAAGCAAGAATCAGAAGATCAGAAGATGACAGAAGAGAGTGTGTCGAGATCAGGTTTTAATATTTTTTTTTTTCAAAACCCGGATCTAGAACTAGCACTGTGATGATGGATAGCCAAGGTTGGCATGGTGACTTCGTCGACTCGCTGTGCCTTGTATCGTCTGAAACCCTGTTTTTTTTGTTTGTTTTTTGCCTCCTTCGTTTTGATGTATAGTGGTGATTTACTCTGGGTACGTACCGAGCAACCTCCCCGATTCCCCAAAACCGCGTTTTTGTGCATGTTTGCCACAGTTTTCTTGATGAAAATTGGGGCATCATGCACGTTAGGTGGCTTGCATCATCGGACCAGACGTGGGACGGTGGATGTGTGGCCAAAGTGGTGACGGAATACTGTGTTCAACTACAGTTCTGCCGAGTACCATGCAAATATGATATATCCATCCCGTGCCGCTCGATCTTTAGAGGCATCAGTATGACTGGCTGCATTTATGTAATGACGTAACCTCGTATCTAAATGACGCAATGTGTGGTGGAATTGGTCGGCGACGCACCAGCTGTTGCGAGAGACAAGACATTAAACAACTTGGGCCTAACGGACTGTCTCCCAGTCTTTCCGGCCAATTAGGACTACTGGGAATCTCATTGATGCGTCATCTGTACCTGAATATCGTTCCGATGACGTTGAATGTCGCCACACCAACCTTCCCTAGTGCCTCCCGCCACAAGTTTTCAGTAAATTTCCATCCATTGAAATTGAGCTCGGTATAATGGTTGAAAGTAAATTCTTCGAGGGATTACGGTGTTGTACTCTTGTTGATTTGGTCCACGATACGCATGCATGATGTTCGATAATATGTCGGGAATTGGCATAGCAGTATCTCAACTTGGCCCGGTCTCCCACAATTTGCCCCCGCTTTCTGGCGCTACCCTACCACCACATCATTATCGACACTTCGCCACTGAGCCCCGGATACACACAGGCGGGCTGCTCCTCAACAGTTGGGCGTGAGAAGTAAATTGATACCTGAGTCCCGGGCAAGCGCAGCGATGAGAAGAGCCCAGGATCAGCCTCGGGCACAGTTCGAGTGCTTGCCTCATGCCATGATCGGGATCACGTTTTCGGGGCTGTTGCAAGTGACAAAGTTGTGGGGCCCTTGCGCATGTACTAGGCATACTGCGAGCCTCGTGGAAGCTGCCGAGAACTGTCACCATACTATGTAATCCAGCATGTCCCACCACCAGATGCACCAGCTGTAGGGCGATTCGTACTGCAGGCACATACCGCCTCCTTATCCTAGATGGGCATGAAAGTCACCACTCTACAGACTTCGAGCTCTACTGCAAGGAGAACAACATCATCGCACTCTGGATGCCGCCTCGAATACGCGTCCATACTTCATCCCCCTCCTTGATAGGTTCCGAGTTCTTTTCCTTGACCTGGGACGGCATTATACTTCGGGAAACCGACACGTATGCGAATGGAAGATCGAATGGCTAGAGCACTATTGAACAATAAAGGGAACTGTACGAGATGTTGGATTATGGACCTGATTAACACTGGCTATAGTAATACTTGGGGTAACCTTATACTTTTGGCTCAGCTGGTTAATCTATCACGAGATTTAAGGGTTTGGCGGATATATATATAAATTTAGCAATGCAGAGCAATCTAAGGTATGGCTGCGCCTTGACGTCAGACACATTGACTGCTTCATCGTGCACTACGTCATAATTATCCTTGCATAGACAGAGGCGATCAATAGCTTCGCGGTTACCCCTCTTCTGAACCAACCTTCGACCAATCTGCGGGGGATCCAAACGCGCCGTTGTCGTCTGTAAAAAGATTTGGAAAAATATTGTGGATTAGGAGATGACATCAATGGCACTTCCAAGTGACAGGTCACAAACAAGCTAGGAAGCAAAGGCTTAATATCATCCACCGTCCGGAGACTTTGGCGAGGGAGATGAGGCAATTATGCCCGAGAACGACCCGATCACGTCTGAGAGTTACATTCTTGATTCACTTCCAGCTATTGACGTAATGTCCAAGAGTTACATTCTTGATTCACTTCCAGCCATGATGTAATAATCCTCTCTGCTAATAAATAAGCACAACCTACTAATCGTTCACTTAACCAGTATTTAAAAAGTCATTTCTATCGGAAGAGATGAAAGAGATGAAAGAGATGAAAATTATATTTTCATTCCTTATTTCATCTCTTCATAAAAACTATTTTATTTTAAAACCCCATTATATCGAAGCGCTATTGTAGTGCCACGACAGAAGCTTTATTGCAAAATTGAGTTCGGCGATCCCCCTAGAATCGTACTAGAGAGCCGAAAAAGGAGTGAGTGCAAATTGGTGCCTCGCGACTAGCCGACTGCGGTGGTAACGCCTATATAAAATCAGCACCGATAGCGCCTCAAGTTTAGCGTCGCCGGAACCTCACCGGATCAGAATGCGTTATCATGGAGGGGGGCATATGTGAAGAGCACTATCACAAGTCCTACAGCTATCCGGGTTTCACCACTCACCTGGAGACATCGAACCTTGGGGCCAACACCACGAATCAAGAATCTATGGATTGCCTCAAGCAGTATGAGGAAATAAGCCAGCCATTCGCCGCACAGCTTTCGCAAGCAGCCAAGAATTGGCAGCAGGAACACACGCCAGGCCTAAATTCGTGGCCCTTGCTGTATGAAGAAAAACAATGGATACCACAGAGCATCCCCTGGGGCTCTGTGGTATCTCAACACCCGACAGAGGATCCTGCCATCGCAACATCTCCGCAGGTGGTCTCCTCATACAAAGAAGGTAGCTTTGGCGGTGTGTACGATTCACAAGATTTAGCCTTTCTCAATTTAGCCTTTCCATCCTCTCCTTCAATGTTCATAAAATCTGAGCAGTCCTACGAGCCAAAGGCATCAGTGGGTCTCGGGGTCGACTGTATCATAGCGTCACCATCCCAGTGTGGAATTCATCCCCCGATACCCTGTCTTCAGCTATCATTCCCCAGACAGGATGAGAGTATGAGGCATCAGGACTCGATCACGGCGGTGAACAACATCCCTGTCTTCACACAAGGTGGATACGGGGCGGATCAGGGTGGAAATATCCGCCTACATCACGAAGACTACAAAGTTACCAATGGGCTTGAAACAGAGGACGGCCAGCAGAAATACATTGGTGGAGTCATGGATGAGCTATGCCAGTTGGAGGACCGGTTGCAAGATCTAAACAAACAACAGATGAGTTTCGTCAAGGCTAGCTTCGTCAACTGAGCTTCGACGTTTCACCTGAGGTAAAAGTCCATAGACGATTTATCTACAGAAATCTCGGAGGCTTTATCTATCTGTGTTTCGTAGACCATGTCGTCAACTTGTAGCGGAGGCGGCTGAAAGGATCCCTATGGTCTCAGCTATCGGACGGCCTTGAACAACACTGTCAGACGGAACAGACAAGGATGTCACATCGCCGACTTCGGCAGTCAAAGGCATACGATTTTATATGCTTTTTACGGACTGTTATTTTCCCAGACGGACTAATAGGCCCAACAGCTGATCTTGCTAGCAGCCTAACAGCTGATCCTGCTGTCAGTGGGCTGATCACGATCCCTGTCCTAAGACATCTATTGTATTCAAATTCCTCTATAAAATACGGCCCTTCAGGCCGTCAGTTAGCGAGAAATCAAGATCATCCATCGTCATCAAGCTGTCTCAACCAATCCATCTTTTGTCTGATAAATACCAAGCTACTGTGAGGGAACGATTATGTGACTTTCATACTTTATGAATAGTCTCACTTTATGAATATTATATAAATAGCTTAAGCCAGAGCTTTTCTTAGGAATCTCTTTCTCTCCTTATAAACAATTATTTTATCCAAGTTACACTCGACCTTGTTTGTACTCTTGTTCCGTTATAAGTCCCGCGCTTGGACTAGCTTTATTAAAGCTGTGACTGCAAACAGCTGTCTTTTGAAACTGAGAATCATCTTTAAAGGTAAAGAGCTTTAGTATTAATAGTTTATCGAGGAGTTTAAGAAGATAGCCGACTGGTATTATACTACTTCTGAAAATAGCTAGATAGATAACTATATTATAATTAAGTAGCTTAAAGATATCTATCTACCTTAAATACATCTAGCAGATAAGTCTAATACCAAACTTATTATCTTAAATAGCTATAGAAGTTATATATCTATAAGTATCTAACTGGCTTAAATTATAAATCTTACAAAAAATCCAGGATAAGTAGATAGCTACCTGCTTTTTAAATAATATATATTATTATTACCTGCTATCTTATTTCTATTATAGTATATAGCTATTAGATAATAGTATATTTAATATCTCTAAAGCTGCTTACTGCAGAAAACTCTAAAAGCTAGCAACACTAGCTAATTCAGCTTTTAGCTTTAGTAAATAAAGTTAACTTTATTAAAGCTTATACTAAAGCTAGAAAAGTAGATATAATAAAAAAGAATATACTCTTAAAATAGATAGTAACTAGAAATTAGCTAATCTTATAATAGAATATCCCTATATATTCAGAAATTTATCTAAATAAAAAAATATTTATAACTAAATCAGACAGTCTAAGAGATATATAACTTAACTCTAATAATATACTAAAAATTAACTAATATATTAGAGATTTAGAAAAAAATAAAATCTTTTTAACTAATAGATAGTATTCTATAATATCTAAAGAGTTTAAAGTCCAGAAGTTAAAAATAATCTTTCTAATAGTAAGAATAGCCAGTCTGAAGGAGGAAGTTAGCTGATTAGATAGAGGTAAGAGGAGAAGGGCTATACCCAATCCTAATAAGAAGTTTATAATACTAGTCGAAGCTCTAGCAGCTGATAAAATTATTTCTAAGCTAATTTAGGCTACTGAAGTATCAGAGGCTATTGAGGATATGATTGAGGTGGGAGGGCTTGAAGAGGAAGAAAGTTCAAATTTAGAGGCGGAAGAATTACCTATTATATACATTCACACAGGCCGTAAGGTTAAAAGGCTAAGAAAATATTAGAATTTATTTAATTTCAAGCCGAATTCTAATAATAATTTTATTTTTATTATTTTTAGTTGTTTTTTCCCATAAGGTTAAAAAAAATAGATTTGTATGGGGAAATCTTTTTTGCTTACCGGTAGGTGGGTACTAGATGGTAGTATTCTTATCGTGTTCGTCTCGCTCATTAGTCGTCGTCTTCGTCGGAGTCGATACCCATGTGGTAGGTAGTTGCTTTGAATCCGGGGCTTCTTCCTATTTGGATCCTTCTCGCTGAGAGGCTGTCTGCGTCTGGAAGCAGTCCTGCGCTGTGGCTGCTGGCTGCTTGTGCTGGCCGGGTTTTTTTCGCGCCTGTGGGTTGCCGCCTCTGTAATTACTTTGTCGGGTCGAAATAGGGATACGAGTAATATTCTATTTCTTGACCTTTGAGATTATTTAATTTGAAGCTTGGAGATATATTACTATATTTAAAGCGATAGCTATAGATATTTAATCTTAAAATTGAAAATATAGTCTAAATTTTAATTCTAGCTAATAATAGCACTTAACCTTCTTATATAGATATATCTTAGTACTATATATCTAAAAGAAGGCCTCGGGCTTAGTTAGATATTCTTTAGTAATATTATAAAAAGTAGTAGTTATAATATAATTTATCTTGCCCTTGTATACTAGGTAATAGTACTTAAGGATATATTTTTATTTAGATTGATTATTTTCTAATTAAGTTTTTAAAATCTTTCTGGCTTTTACTTTAAAAAGGGGATTTAGCCTTTTATATATAATTTTCTTATATATTATATAGGGTCTTGTAATTAAGACTTACTTAGAAATATTTTTAAACTTTAGTTTAGTTTTTAGTATTATACTTGCTATAATAGTAAGCTTATTTTCTATATAAAGTATTAAACCTGGTATTAATTAGACTAGTTATAAATCTTTCTTAATTAGAATAAAAAATATTATTTATAATAATTATTATCTATCTATAATATTTATTATTAAAATTATATTTTTTTTTATTTATAAGAATATAAGCTGTAACTTGGGTAATATCCTACTTATTAAGTTAGCTTTATATTAAGATAAATATATATAAATATCCTATATCTAGAGTAACTGGGGTAAATTTATATTTATTACTAATAGATAAAGAAAGAATACCCTCCTTCTTAGCTTAAGGTATATATAGAAGGAGGTTTTTAGTATAGAAGCCTATACTATAAGCTATTACTATCTAGTTATTTTAGAGTAATCTTAAGATTAACTTACCGAATAATATAAGGCGAGTATTCTATTACAGTACTAATATTGCTCTTAGCCTTAAGAATAAGGCTTTTTAAATCGATAAATTTATAAAGATATAGGTATTTCTGGGGATCCGCGTAATTATAACCTGCTAAACTAATTAGATAAATATTAACAATATTTGCCTTTTTAGCTGTATAGACTAGCTTTATATATATATTAAATTTTTCCTTATATACTAGAAGGATAAGATAGAGAGTATTACAGCCTATATTCTTAAGTGCTTTTATTATAGTATAAATACGCCTAATAACATAAGGAATAATAATTACTCTAAGATCCTTAAGCTTCTATATATAGTTAGACTTGGGATTAAGAGTAAGCCTAATAACCAAATTAATCTTACTAGTAAAATTTTTATTTTTAAGAATAAGCTCGGCAATAAGAAATCCAGTTTAGCTATTAATAGCTATAATATAAATCTTTTGTAATATATTAGTAAATAGAGGCGACTTCCTTCTGCTTTGAGTATTATAGCTATAGGTAGCCGGGCAAATAGGGGGTAAAATATCTTGAATAAGCTTCTTATCTCCTAGCTCTTTATACGGTTATAGATTTAGTATTATAGCCTGAACTTTTATTGTACTGTCCTTAATATAATATAAATGCATATATATAAGTTTAAAGTGATATTTGGTACCCTTTATGGTATACCTGGCTGAAGCTTGCCGAGCGGGGTATCTTATAGAGGCAGAATGCAATACTATATTAAGAATTTATAATAACAAGTCCATTTATTATAGACTCAACTAGCTTCTTAATGATAAAAAGGGTTAAAGTATTAGTAATTGGGGTCAGTTGAAATGCAGGCCTACTCAGGCTTACTATAACGCCTTGGGTTATCTACCTGTTCTTAATTCAGCTCTACTTTACCCGTTTCCCGATTCGTGGGTCGCCCCGTATCTTGTTACGACATCACCATACTGAAAACCTTCATAGGGCACATACTCAAATAGGACGATCTGGTCCAGTATTTTAATTTTCTCAGCTATGGTGTCATGGAGATATGGTGGTCGAAGTAATGTGTCGTATATGACGTGCACCAGCGGAGAGATGTTTCCGATATGACGTGCACGACTAATAGTGATGTTGTTACAGGCTTCGAAATCGATCGAATCGATCGATTATCGAGCCCTGATCGATCGATTTATATCGGTCATGACCTTCAATCGATCGATATCGATTGAGCGGGCCTCTTAGTTGATCGATATCGATCGATCACAAATTGAAATCGAATCGATCGACAATCAAATCGATCAGGGGATTCAGAGCTGGTCTTTATTATCCCCATCTACACTAATCCTGCCTACCAATTAAAGTACCTGCCTCTAATTATCCCCTTTAAGAAGACTTAGAGGAAGGGATGGCTGATAAATACTAGTCTTGCTCTATAAATAAAGGTACTAAGCTATAGCTATTATATAGTACTATAGGCAAAATCTAAGTAGTATTACTATCTTCTTATAATTATTAAAATTTCTTTCTATTTTAATAAAAGATAATATAATAATAAGAAAGTTAATAGCTATATAAAATAGTTAAGAAAAATATATAATATTAATATCTCTCTATTAAGTAATTAAGTTAGCTTTATATATAATATTATTTATTAGTAATTTTAATAAATATTAATTAAGCTTATTTTATACTAGTATTATAGCTAATTATATTAGCTATATATTTTATTACTCTTAAAAATTAAAATAAATACATAATTAATTAAATATTAATTAACATATTTAATAAGCAAGTAAGCCAGACAAGTAAGTAAGCTAAAAATCCCTTAACTTACATCATCTTCATTTAATCAATTAATTCTCAACTACCTAGCATATTATAGTTTAATTATAAGGCTAGAATGCTTCTTACTCTTTAGGCCCTTTAAAATAACCCAAACCTACATATCCAATATGCTGTAGAGATATATACAGTTAATTGTTATACTCTAGGTTGCTGGTAA